CTTCGTCTCTCTTTCTCTCTTCGTCTCTCTTTCTCTCTTCGTCTCTCTTTCTCTCTTCGTCTCTCTCTTCGTCTCTCTCTTCGTCTTTCTCTCTCTCTCTCTTCGTCTTTCTCTCTCTCTCTCTTCGTGTCTCTCTCTCGCTCTCTTCGTCTGTCTCTCTCTCGCTCTCTTCATCTGTCTCTCTCTGTCTCTCTTTCTGTATATCTCTGCCTGTCTGTTTGCATCTTTCTCTAAGTCTCTGCGTGTCTCTTTGTTTCTCTCTTCCTCTCTCGCGCGATCTGTCCCAACCTCCTCGGCCTCACCCTGCGTCACACGGCATCACCCAGCAACACTGAAGCCCAAATAGAGCTCTTTTTGAATGGAAATTGAATTAATATTACATGTAATCTTGGGGTGACATTTAGTAGAGTTAAACTTAAAAACATATCTACATGAGAAAGTCGTAGAGGTGCCATCTTACGTGGAGGACAGGCGCACGGTTCTACCGCACTGCTGCTGCCCTCTGTTGGAATATTTAGAAACCTGTTTCTTAGCCACAGGTGAATAATAATGATCTTGGAGCATCTACTAGCATATTATTTAAAATACTTTTTTTCCGCATTTGTATTGTATTAATCTCTATCAAACTTTGTAATTACACCAAGTCAAATCCTGAAGAGGAGCCAGTGTATATGTGGTACCTACTAATGCACTCCGTTTTGTAGAAACATTGTTGATTACATGTTGAATTCACTTTTATTAGTATAGAAGATTTAGGGAGTCAATATTCTAGAGGATATAAATGTTCAAACTAATTTTAGAATGTTTTATCAGAATAAATTTTTAAAAGAAGTGTTCCTGGACCCTAGGTTTTAGTGAATCGTTTATAACAACATTTCTATGAACTCGTATAATTTGATTAAAATATCTTCTAGCCTTGGGTTATGCATTCATCGAAATCAACATTGATTCCCCATTGGAAAAAACTTTCTAACAGTTAGAATAGCTTAGAACTATTGTTTTGGGGATAGGACCTGACTGTATTCCAGGGTACACCTTATGAAGGTGGCGTTTCCCAAGTCATCAGTCAATGTTCAAATTATTTTTGTAAAGCTAAAAAAATTCTTAATTGACTCTCTCCTGAGTTTCACAGCACATTTCGTCACTTAAAATGTTTATACTCGTAAAATCCTAAGTTGGTCCGTGATCAATCTACATCTCAATAAGCGTTAAAATCGGTTGAGCTGGGAGAAGTTCGCTGGCTAACATTGATTCGATCTTTTTTATATAGGTATATTTTCCATATTTGCATTATTGTATTTTCAGCATTATTGTATATTAGACGGACAAATTGTCAACCTAGGGAGAACAATCAGAACTAAAAGAATAGATTTTGTCAGAAAACTTACGGCGATTAATACACCGATAGGTGAAGGGTTTCTTACCATTTTCGGTACGAGCTAAATTTCATTGTTTTAATCCTCTATCTAGGTAGCAACAGACACAGATCTATCTAGCTAGCTGTCTCTGTTTCACCGTATTTTTGTGTGCCTGTACAGTTGTTTGGTGGTTCAATTTTCTGTTCGTCGAAAGTCTACAGTTTTTCTTTCTCGTTGACTCTTTGTTTATCTACCTCTCTGTTTGTTTGTTCAGTCTTTTTGTCAAACTGTCTGGCTGTCTATTTATTTACCTGCCCGTCCGTTAGCCAGTTTGCCTGCATGTCTGCTTTTACCCTACCTGTGTGTTTTGGTATATTTGCCTGTCGGTCAGTTTGTCTGTCAGTTTGTCTGTTAGTTTGTCAGTTTGTGTGTCAGTTTGTCTGTTAGTTTGTCAGTTTGTCTGTCAGTTTGTCTGTCAGTTTGTCTGTCAGTTTGTATGACAGTTTGTATGACAGTTTGTATGACAGTTTGTATGATAGTTTTTCAGTCTGCTTGTCTGTATGTTTTTCTGCTTCAACGTCTGCATGTTTTTCTATTTCTACGTCTGCACGTTTTCTGTCTCCTTTTTTGTATGTATATCTGTTTATCTGTACATCTGTTTATCTGCAAGTCTGTACGTCTTTCTCTTTGCCTGACATTCTGTTGTTATGCCTTTCTGTTTGTATTTTTGTTTGCTTGTTCGTTTGTATGTTGTTTTTTTGCCCGTTCGTTTGTCTGTATGTCTGTTTGCTTGTATGTGTGGTTTACTGTCTTTCTGCTTGCCGGAGTGTGTTTCTCTGTCTGTTAGTTTGACTGTCTGTTTAACTATCTGTCCGTCCGTCCGACCGTCTCTCTCTATCTCTTTCGCCGCTCTTTCGATTAAAGTGATCAAGTGATACAAGATCCATTGAGAGGTCATGATGTACAATGTCTCAAAAATAATTGTAATCGGTTGAATCATCAAATGAGATAAATCCGTCAGTACATTGTTTATTTTGATGTAATACTTTGAATTCCTTTTGCTTCACGCGGCAGGAACCATTTCAAAGAGGAATGAAAACCTTGAGAAACCGAAATAGATGTTATATTCGTTCGAACTGTAGCCTGATTATGTACCGAAACAGCGATCTGGCAAGTAGGATATTCTCTCATTAATCTCACGAGTCATAAAGTTGAAACTTCACAATCTTTAATGAAATAAATGTGACTATATAGATGGCAGTGATCTCATTAGGTCTAATCCAGTAGATTCTAGTTCAAAATGATTGTAAGTGGATTATTCGTTGTACATTACAAGGCCATGATTTAAATTACTTATCTTTTTGACATAATAATGGATCTGAATAAATAAAAATACTGAAGCGGGAGCAATATGAGATGAGGAATATGAATAAAACAGCTGTAATTGTCTGTATGTAAAAAATTTTTATTATTGAGTATTTTACAGTTCTATGTTTTGTTTTATATAGTACATTATTTTTATGTTGCAGTCATTGTTTCGCCAACTGATTTTTAGGTGTTTTCTGCAGTTGGACATTCTTGTTATCGCATTTTTGAATATTCTATTTTTTTACATGACTCTCTTCTACAAGATTGGTCTAAAAGGTGTTTGGAAGGATACAGTTTTCGCTGACTTAATTCTTCATCTAAGTCATTCATGGCCACAGGCGAGCACACACAGAGGGAGGAAGAGAGGAAAGGCGGAGGGAGAATAAGTTAGGAGGAGAGCCGTGGGGGTGGGGGGCGCGGGGGCTCTGGCCGGGGGGCCCAGCGCCCGCGCCAGGCGCCAGGTCGCTTCGGGAGGCGTCGAGGGCGGCGGGGGCGGGGGGCGCTTAGGCGACCACGACGGCGGCCGGGGTGGCGGGCGACGATGGGCGCCCGGCGTGCACGGCCACGGTGGATAGGCGAAGCTGCGGCGGGCACGACGGCGGGCGGGCGTAGGCGACGGGGCGTGGACGGCCACGGGAGGCGGCGGGGGCGTAGGCGACGGGGGGCGTTGCACGGCACGGAGGCGGGGCGCGTAGGCGGCGACGGCGGCGCGGCCAGCAGGCGGGGCTGCGCTTCTTGCGGCCGTAGTATGGCGGCTGCAGGAACACACAAACACACACTACATTGTAGGGACGTGTCGAGGGCTGCGCAGGGGTGGAGGGAGGAATTGGGGGTGGCTGGAGAGCTGGCCACAACCCATGCGGGGCGGCGCGTCCTTTAGGCGTGAAAGGCGTGATTCCGCATAATCCGAACAGCCGACTTTCCAAGGAAGCGTAGACTTTGCCCATAGAAAGGGAGAGGAGCCTCCTGGATAAGGAGGGCAGAATAAAATTACAGACCCGGAGAGCGCCATAGCCCCCCGGTTCTATAAATTAGTGTCACTCTCCCTGTTATAATAAATATCCCTCGAGATACCAGTAGTATTTGACTGGTCACTTTCTAAGTGAAAACGTGAGAGTGAGAAAGGAAGAGGTTTTAAAATTGGTTCAAAATGAATGCCAAAAGTAACAAAAGGAATTACTAGCAGTCTACTGTACGATTATTGACTTTTTAGATTATTCAATTAAGATATTTTTTGAAAAAATACGAAGTTTGCATGATAAAGATAGAATTGCCTTATTCAGAAATCGATGAGATATGCGGAAGCTTCATTCTTGTTTTTTAAAATTAAGGTAATTTACGTTTGTTAGAAAAAAGGGATCGTTAAGATGTTGGGAAAGGCCCTAGAATTCGATAGTGAATAAGTGGTAAACAAACTTGGCAGTCTGGGAGGGAAGGATGTGAGCATTTGCCCTGCAATGGCTCCGCGGAGCGCGGAGCGGAGGCGGAGGCGAATTGCGGGCGGTGGCGGCGGGCGACTCACCTTGGCGGCGCGCGTGGGCCCTGGAGGGGGCGGCCTTAGCGGCGGCAACTCGGGGTGTCGGCGACGGGCAGCGGGGCCGACGACGGCGGGGCGGCGTTAGCGGGCCTCGTGACGACGGGCGGGGCGGCGGCGACGGCGGCGACGGGGCGGCGGCCACGGCGACGGGCGCGAGGGGCGCGGGGGGCGCGGGCACGCCGGGGCCCACGGGCAGGTTGGTGGCGGCGACGCGGAAGCCGTTGACGGGGTCGGACACGTACTGGGCGCTCTGCACCAGGCCGTGCGCGTCCACGTAGGAGTAGCCGCCGCGGGTGATGCCGTCGGCGGTGCGCACCTCCTGCTTGGCGGACAGCGGGCCCTGGTAGCCGTAGCTGAACTGGCCCAGCTCGTCCTGAGCGTGGTACTGGCTGGAGACGGAGGGCGCGACGACGGCGGCGGCGGCCACGGGCGCCGAGTAGGCGACGGGCGCGCCGATGAGCCCGGGGGTGGCGGCGGCCGCAGCCAGCACGCAAGCGACGACGATCTGCGCAACACACGCACGCTCGCGGTTAGTGCATGGACGCTCTCTGGGGACCGGGGTTCACTCCCAGGGCGATCCGGCACAAAGTGGCTTCTGTTTCCTTTCACTCCTCTGCCCCTCCTCGCACCACCTCCGTCATTCATTCATTCATTCATTCATTCTTTCAATCTTCAGTAGTATCACTTACTCATTAACCTAGGAAAGGTCTTCAGAGCATCCCTAAGAAAGGTCTACGGAGCTCACATACAAGGAATTGTGGTCAAAAAAACCTAGAAGTAAACGTATTTATGCATTGCCATCCTATGATAAGTTACGAACTTCCTCTAATTCTTAAGGGGTATCCAACTAGTAGTACATAAAAAAGTTCCTGTTTGGTCTGGTAGTGTGATTGGCGGCAAAGCCACATCGAACATGTTGACCTTCGCGGCGAGTAGGAATTTATTGGTCTTGAGTCAATAAAAGTATACGATAGTCGTCATTTTTTCGATGAGACCACGATCTATCATCCGCTTTCATATTGCCTCTGGAAAATGTCTGCTAAGTTTTTTTGAAATAAATTGGAAGAATGGAGTGATCCCCTTTACGTTTTTGAGGAAATGTAATGACTAATTTCTCAATTTTTTTATGCACCTTCCATGCTGAACCATCATCTCATTCAATCAGAAAAATCCAGTGTCTTGACTTTAAAACATTTTACAAATTAAAATATTTAAACTACAAGTTATTTGTGTTAGAATTCGTGATGTAAGCGTCGTCATTCCGACAAATTTGAAAACCCAAAATTTCTGGGAATTTGATGATCCATTTCAGAAGTGGTCGTCCTTGAAGAGAGCATTTCGTCTAATGCCAATGCGCGATAGTAAAAGTTGGCTATTGGTTTGCTGAAAATGTTGTTCCGATGGTGCAGGGAGATTTTCCCCAGGGCGTGGCGTGGCGTGGTGTGGTACTCACCAGGACCTTCATGGTGTAGTGTAGCGGCTCGTTGGTCTCCCGAGAGCGACTGTGCAGGACGCCGGGCGGGCGGGGTTTTTATACCGAATTGGCGGGCGGGGCGGGTGTGGTCGGGGCGCCGCCGCCCGGGGCGAGGGCCAGGCCTTGGCCTTGCGACGCCGCCCGCGGGG